GACATAAGCAGAAGAGTGTGGGGAATTCATGGAGAAGCTTGTGTTTCCTTCACACAGACTCAACCCCTCCCTCCTTCCTCCTACCTGGAACATGGATGTGGTGCCCCAGTGTAGAGCATCCTGGGTTTTATAGCACTGTGGTGACAAGTGTGAAGAAGAAAGCTGACACCTTAAAGATGCCAGAGTACTCAAAAGATGCTGGGCTGCCCCAAAGCAGGACAAATGTTAATTACAGAGCGACGGGGAGTCATTTCAGGAGCCTCTGAGGGTGCCTGCAGAGTAGCTCAGAAGGACAGGAGGAAGGTGGCCCATCATCCCCTTGCATTGTGTGGCCTCTTCCAATTGCTATCATTCCTACACCCACCCCTCTTGCAGGCTATGATAGAAACAAATCGTAAAACTAACTATAAATTTAAAAAACAGAGGAAGAGATGAAAATTAAAATAAAAAATTTAAAGCCAGGAACAGAAGTGGAAAAGGATAAACCAGAATAAATAAATAAATAAATAAACCAAACCTTAAGAATTATTATTTTTAAAACTAGGTATTTAAGAATGTTTTAAATAAAAATTAAATATTTTACAAGGAAACAAAGTAAAATTATGTACAGAAAGTAAACAACATGAAAAGTAAAGGCAAATAAAAGCTAAGACCTTCAAAGGAGCAAAAACACAACAGGGAAAAGATAATAAAAGGATAAATTGTCCGTAGTAAAAAATGTCCGTAGTAAAAAAAAAAATCAAGAACAAAAAAGCTAGATATAGACAGGCAGGGAAAATACTTTCCCATCAAGAAGAAGATTAGAAAAGACAAAAACTGCTAAAGACCATTGAGTAGAGTCAAGGGTTAATGCCACCAAAAAGAGGAGGAAAAAGAAGAAAATATAAAAAGTAGAAAAGGGTCTGAGGAACAAGCAGTATCTTTCTGGCCTGCAAGGAGAAACTAACGCTTGTCCCAAGAAAGAACTTAGTATCTACTCTAACTCAGGAAATGAAATGCATTTTAGGAAAGCCTTCTGGGAGGACAGCCTGGGGGAAGACACGCTCCTCTTGTTTCACCATCCTCCAGAAGGTTCCTGCCCCTGCCCTTGAGTGTCACTTGGAGATAGTGGTTTCCTATCAAGTAATCAGGAAATACTAGGCAAAGAGGTTCCAACCAGCCCGTTGGAGCCCTGAAAAGTTGCTGCGTTGTTGTTGGTTTCAGGTTTTAGCTCCTATGTTTGATGCCTCCCTGGTTGTCCCCTGGCCTGGCTTTGGAGGGCAGGACTGAATGAGATGAAATCAGGGGTTGCTGGGGGAGCAGTCCTACAGAGAAGTATTTGATGAGAAGCAAATCTAGTTCTGGAAAGTTCCCTGGATGGGCTTTTGAAGGCAAGGAAAAGAGGTCCGTTCAAGTTGCCTCAAGAAACGTATGCAGGAACCCAGGAAGAGATTAATGGCCAGATCTCAGGAGAAACAGAAATTGGAGGGTGTCCATGCCCCTTTGCTCTGGTGGTCCACCATGAAAATGGCTGCTACAGACTGAATGTTTGTATCCCCACAAATGCATATGTTGAAATCCTGACTCTCAATGCGATGGTGTTAGGAGGTGGGGCCTGAGATAAGCAGGTCATGAGGGTGGAACCCTCATGAATGAGATTAGTGTCTTTTTAAAAGAGACCCCAGAGAACTCCCTCACCTCTTCTGCCTTGTGAAGACACAGTGAGAAGGTTGTTATCTCTGAACCAGGAAGTGGGCTCTCACTATACACCGTATCTGCCAGCACCCTGATCTTCGACTTCCCAGCCTCCACAACTGAGAAATAAAATCTGTTGTTATAAGCCACCCCAGGCTGTAGTGTTCTGTTACAGCAGCCCGAGCAGACAAAGTCAGAGACTTTACAGTTACTCTCACTACTCAAGTTTGTGTTGTCTTTTCTTTCTCAATATAATGCGACATCACGTGGATTTCGTTACAGAGAGATATGGATATGTGTAACGAGATGCTAAAATACAATTCTTTCTCCCTCAGTCCTGACTGAGAGCCCAAAGGCTTTGCACAAAGCCATGGGTGCAAAATGACTCCACATTCCAGGGTGAGGTGCTAAACCATCTATACAGGATTTGCAAAGGAGATATCTTAAAACCCATTTTGCAATTCTAAGCAATTCTAATCAACAACCTTAAGGGTATTAAAGGGTTGTGACTGAAGTTGAAGGGGAGGTGATTTGATTTTTTTGGAGAAAGTTATAGAAGTGTTTTGGAGGTGGGGAGGAGAAGCTTGCCCTTCACATCAAACAAGGTGATTAGGGCTTAAGGGATCACTTGGAGAATATAATAGACATAATAGACTGGTGCTGGACCCATGCCTGTAAAGGTAATAAAGAGACTGTGGCTGGCTAGTGCCTTGGCATAGTGGAGTAGAGAGAGCTGTGTTGGGAAGTAGCTGTGCTCTCATGATAGTAGGACCAAAACGCTGATAGGAGCATTATGGATGCTGATCTGTGACTTATAAGGATGGTGATCTGTGACTTTATATACAGACCCTGCCCATGATGACTTCCCAGAGGAACTTTGGAGCCCCAACAAGAGTATGTGTGGTGTGGACCAAAAGATACCCATGAGCTAAGGGAGGAATGGTAAATGGGCAGCCAGAGGAAAGGCATGGTCTGTATCAAGGAAGCTGCCATCAAAGGACCACAACAGGGGCATCACCAAGAAACATATGTTAGACCCAAGAGAAGAAAGTCAGCTTTAAACATCCACTAAGGCCAGAAAATATCAGCACTATAGTAAACAGTGCCAGTCAAGTAAGAACTTTCCTGCTCCCTGCACCTCCTCTCTCTCCTTGAGCAGCGGCCTTGGAGCACTACGCAGCCTAGTGAGGGAGGGGAAAATGAGGAGACGCACAAGGTGGGGACATAGAATATAAGCTGATCACCATCCCTTCTGCCCTCTGCAGCTTCTGGCCTGAAGCAGAGGAAGAAGAAGTACTGAGAGAAAGAGAGAGAGAGTTTTATAAGAAATTTAGAGTTTTGATCAAGTAGAGAGGAAATAATTGATGTTTCAGGAGACAGAGGGGAGAACTGCAGGACAAAGGTCTTTAGTAGACAGGGGGAGATGGGACCAGCCCAACATTTGGGGAGGGACCTGCCTCAATAGGAGTGGGGGCTATACATCCACTGCAGTTGGGAATTGGGGAGTGAATTTACTAGGGAAGTATAGCTGGATCTCCAGGCAGTACTGAACCTCATTAAAGCATGCTGGAGAAAGACAAAGACATACACAAGGGATGATTACAATGAAGGACCACAGAATCCCCACTTGGTTAGGAGGGACATGAAGACAGGAGGGGAATGCGGGTCATTAAATTTCAGGGCCAATGTAGCTAAGGTCCTGATGAGTGCGAGGAATTGTGAGACTGACTGTGCCGGCAGGCGGCCACCAGAGACAACCCCAAAATGGAAGACCCAAACCTATTACCATTGTTCACTCCCACCTCTCCACACTTTAAACACTTCTGAGGCAGCTGTCTCCTGTCTGACCTGTTGTCCCGGGCACATTTTGTACATCCTTCGACAAAAAATCTACCTCAATTCTTGGCCCTATAACCCTACTACTAAGATTTTTCTCCTCCAGTTTCAATCCTTATACTCTTTTTTCCTTACACTGCCACTTCTGGACCTGAGTACTTTGGATAAAGCTCAGCAATTTTTCAGAAGATCAGAGGCTGGGGCCAGATGTGTAGCCTCCCTTGACCCCAGTTGAGTAAAATGTTGTCTCTCTCATGCAAGAAGTTTTCCAACAAGAGAGTTTTGGGAGACAAGTAGCATCCCAACTCCTATAGGTGGGGTCCAGGAAGTAACAAGGAAAAGCATATAGCCACAGACACCTCCAGGATCCTCCAGCTAAAGTGGCAAAGGTCTGAGACCCAGATAATGCTGGGGAACTCCAGCCAGAGAGCTATGCTTAGAGCACACAGATCTTAAGGGAATAAAACCAGAAGTTATCAAGCTATCTCAACTACGTTAGCGGAAGCACATACAGTTAGGAGCTGCCTGGGTAAGATGGAACCCTCTGACCCACGTGTCAAACACTCAGAGCGGGTAGAACGACAACAAAAAACCCACGTGGTGTTTGTCAACCTCTGTTCTCCCCCAAGCAGTTGTCTGTTCTGTCTCCTGAAGTCCGAACCTCCTTAAGGAAATGGAACCCACTCTAAACCTCCCCCCGTGATGTGGCCTTTGCTTCTAGTGGGAGTGGTTTTAACAGCAGTGCATTTATTCCCTGACTGTAAGCAACAGAGGGGTCCCAGCAGTGCTGCCCTAAAGGCAGCCCACACTGGCCTGCAAGAACTGACTGTTCAGTTCTCCAGAACTTTGTGAGCAGGTTGTTAAAGGCATTCTACAGCATTTGAAATTAAGCTATAAAAACTGACAGTTACATCATATTAAAAACAAAGGTGGGAATTCCCTGGCGGTCCAGTGGTTAGGACTCAGCTCTTTCATTGCCGGGGCCCAAGTTCGATCTCTGGTCAGGGAACATAGATTCCCCAAGCTGTGCGTCTCAGCCAAAAAAACCAAGAAACCAAAAAATGAAAACAAAACAAAACAAAAACAAAGGTAATAAATACTCGACACTCGTCACTCACTAATTATCTTACGGCGTTTTACAATTACTTACGTTCTGGAGGCTACGCACACCTATTGTATCAGGCGGTAGAAATACCATGAAATGGAGTGCCAGTGCACACCTCTTCCCAACTCCATGTCCAGGGACTTCACTTTTGGTAGCTCCAAATAGGCCATGGAAATCAGCAGGCACTACGAATCAGCCCCCCGCCCCGCCCTGCCCCGAGAATTGGCTGTTAAACGTTTACCGGCACACCACTGGGCTCCACGGACCTGAGGGAAGTCAGTTAGAACAACCCCAGCGTCAGCCCACCTCCGGAACCCAACGTTTCCTCTGCCTTTTTCGTACACCCTCCTCTGCTCAGGGACGGGGCAAAACTGTATTTACTTACTTAAAGGGCATCTGGGTCAGATGGTCTCCCTCAGACAGGAGTGCTGAGGAGCTGGCTGATGAAATATTTTCCCAATTCTGCCTGGTTTCCATTTGAACAGGAAAAAAAACTGGTTCTAAGGAATGCAGCCAGTAGGTAAGTAAATAGGGCAGCTGTGATGTGAGTTCCAGCTGAAATAAAGAAAACTTATGAGTCTGGTTTATATAAAAAGAAAGCTTATAGATTCAGATTTTCCTCCCTTCCTGCCTCTGGTCTCCTACAACAGGGCACAGTCTGTGCTTGCATTGCCCTTTCCTTCCCCCAGGGATGTAATTGGCACCTGGTTGCTCCTTGGCTCTAGCACAGGATAAACTTGCTGTTTTCTGGACACTTGTTTTCAGTGGTGGAGTTATTCATTTCTCTTTTCATAGTAGACATTACTTAGACTCCACTGGACTCTCTCAAGGGCCCATGTTCAAGGATCCACTATTCTGAGTTGGAATAATCCTCCGGCCTCAGTTCCGTTCTAAAACTCAGTCGTTTCCCTTGAGAGCCAAGGACAGAAGGAGGAGATGGGGAACCCAGCAGGTTTAGGAATTCAGCTAGATTTCTGATCCTCCCTGAAAAGATGCAATTTTCTTTCCTACCCCCAAACCTGGTAGTGAATTAGCCACACCAAAGATGCGTGCGTATATGCGCTCCGTGTCAGTACAGGCAGACCTTGGTGATAGTGCAGGCTGGGTTCCAGCCACTGCAATAAAATGAATATCACAATGAAATGAGTCACACAAAGTTTTTGGTTTCCCAGTGCATATAAAAGTTATGCTTACACTATATTGTAGTCTATTAAGTGTGCAATAGCATTAGGTCTAAAAAAGTACATACCTCAATTAAAAAATACTTTATTGCTAAAAAAATGCTAAGCACCATCTGAGGCTTTAGTGAGGAGGAGTCACATCAAAGACCACTGATCACACATCACCAGAACGAATACAATAATAATGAAAAAGTTTGAAATATTGAGAGAATTACCAGAATGTGACACAGAGACATGAAGTGAGCAAATGCTCTTGGAAAAACGGTGCTGATAGACTTGCTCAGTGCAGGGTTGCCTCAAACCTTCAATCTGTGAAAAATGCAGTATCTGCAAATGCAGTAAAGTTAAGCACAATAAAATGAAGGATGCTTGTATATGGCAATAACACTGCAGAAATGGCGCTATTTACTAGTTTCTATTTGTTCATATGTATGTGTGCCATCTATTGTGAGCCTGAATGTTTGCAGGTATACGTGTGTGTGTGTGTGTGTGTGTGTGGTGTGTAGACAGGCACGTGTGAGTGCCATTTTGTAGATACCTGTGTGTTTGAACGTGTATAAAATCACGTTTTCGTGTTCCTCTGTCTGTATTTTTGCACATGCAGATGTGATTCGTGTGAGCAGGAGTGAGACTTTCACAAACCTGGTTGAAATGCTTGGAGAACGTCATCATCTTCTAAAAAGAGAGGAATGAAACATTTTGAAGAAAGGATTAAAACACCCAAACATTTCTTTTTTAAGACTCCCTATGTTTTCTCTATGTGTAATGGAAAAGTACCAGATATTTGCATTTTTCTGTCATGATAAGGATGGTTGATTTCATCTAGGGACAGGATTTCATCATTAAGTTTAAGCTAAAAATTCTTTAGAAGGAATGTTGTAAGAGGAGAGATGAGAGACCATGGCCCCTGAAGGGGCAAGTTTGGACATATCAAGCTTCCCCTCCCCTCTCTCCAGCTGCTGCTATCTGCCTCTGAAACATCGTGGCCCTCTTCCCACTGTTCAAAGGGAAAGGGCTGTTCTCTAGCTGTGGATCCCTTTAGCACACGGGCAAGGGGCCAGGGGCCATGCCCTTCTTCCTTCTAAGGACAAGGAGACACAAAGAAGACATGAGATTGGGTTGTAGCAGAATGAGCAGGGGAAAATGTCTCTACTTCTTTATGGGCCATGGGATACAATAAGGCCTTTCTGAAGTGTTTGTGAATTCTCTTCCAGGTGATTCTAAGAGGAGAGGACTCAGTTCTGTGGGGTGAGTTAGAAGTAGGATCATGGAGGGGCATACAATCAGCGGGATGACCTCCGGAAGTTTTAATAATACAATAACTTATGTTTATTGGGTATTGTTATGGTGCCGTGAGGGCTTTGTGTGTGTCAACTCGTTTAATCTCTGCCACAACCGTTTAAAGATAATTATCACCCTTACTTAACATATGAGGAAAAAGAGACACAAAGAGGTAAAGACACTTGGCTAAGGTCATATAGTTAGTAAATGATGGATTCAGGATTCACACTAGGTGGTCTGGCTCCAGAGTCCACTCAGTCAACCATTAGACTGTCCTAGTCCTGACAACTCTGCTCTAGGGCTCTGCATCAATTCAGAGAAGTCAGTGCCTCTTCTTATTGCTGACACCTGGAGGGTTAGGGCTAAAACGGGTGTGCATCAAAGGCCCAACTACCAGGAATACTTTCAGATGCATGTGTTCATTCCATGAAAACTCAAAGCTGGAATAGAACCTCAGGAAGCCACCTGCCCTCACAAGTTCGGGGTTGGAAAATTTCTGGCAGGAAGAAAACTCGCATATTTAGCACTGTGTGTGTAACAGCTGCTGTGCTCCTTGCTTGTTATAATCACCATGTCCTGACACACTGGTGTAACAAACCCTTTACCTTGTTGTTTCCCCTAGAGTTTTAAAGTGTTTCTTCAGTGAAAGCTTACCATACCCACAGACTGCTTCTACGGAAAATTGCCCTGCCCAAGGCCCCTGTAACTTTGTGATTCTGTCTTCTTAGATACAGCTGACTGGGGCAAAGGTGACCCAGTGGCAGCCAATTCACAGACTGGCCAGCCCTGGCTAGAAGATTAACCAGGACCCTCAGATGGTTGCTTTCAGAAATCCAAGGTTGAAACTATTGGAAGGAGGAGGTAGTTAACAGTGGATGTTGAGGTAGAAAGATATAGAGAAGGGAAAGGCCATGAAAGTTGTGTGCAAGATGAGGTTATGAGGAAGCAAAACTGGGAGTGAACAGAGGCTATAAGGAAAAGGAGGCATGCACAGGGAGAGAGAAGTGGCTGAATCCCAACAGCCCTCTGGTTTCAGAGCAGCCACCAGCCTGCCTATGCCCTAAAGCAGCTTGAATGAGCTCCTTGCTATCCAAAGACCTCTTAGAATACCAAAGTTTTCAAATTATTTACATTTTTTATATTATGTTAGAATTAAAACAGAATCAAGGTTATCACATAATAAGTCTTTTGCTGATTTCTGTTCCAAAATGCCATTTTGGGTGGGGGGAAAAATTAGTAAAGGTAGGCAAATTTCACATAACGCGAGATTTATCTTATCTGTGCTTGTAGTAACTACATCTCACATACGTTAATAGTTGTAACAAATACAGACTACTGTAGTGCTTTACTTCCCTGTAAAATTGTTTTAGGTATTATAAACGTCTGGTGTGTCATTCACGTGAATATCATCTATTACACTTTGCAGTGTGTGGCAGTGGGAAATGGATGGGAACAACTGCGAGGTATTTTTACACATCTTTTCACAGAGAGTCAAACTGAGACTCAAAAGGTTAAGTTCCATGCAGCTAGCACATGTCAGAGGCAGGATATAAATTTAAATCTTGACTTCATAATGCAGCAGTTTGATAGACTAAAAATTCTGAAGATTTCTGCTACAAAACAACTAGACCCTATACAAAATATAATTGTTATTTCAGTGCCAGACTTGTAATAAATAATTCTACAAGGACGAAAAAAGGCCTTATAAACCATGAACTAAAACCAGTACTGTGAATGGTTAAGCGTAAGTAAAAGGTGAGGGTTGCCCAGAGGATAAATGCTGATATCAGGGCTGCTTTTAGGAGACTAAGCCTTGGGCCATCAGCGAAGTGGAGGAGCTGAACCCAAGACTCTGAGGTTTAGCCAAGGATCCACTAGGGTATAAAGCTTTCTGTGGTCCGTAGTGGTCCTAGCTTCCATCAAAAGCAAATGCAAATTCTCACTGAGGAAAGAATCTTCATTTTAGTTCTCTAGGTTTTTCAGAAATAAAAATCAAATATGACCTCGCCATCAAAGATCAGTAAACACACAAGAAATAAACGACCACAACAAATGTGGCCCCCTGCTTCCCAACAAGAGCTTCAGGTATTGAAATTATCAGACACAAAATATGAAGTCATGATATATGAAATGTTTTAAAAATTTTTGAAGTGGAATGACAGATATGAAATAGACATGACCAGAAATGACAGGCATACATATTTGAGGGAGTTCCAGGGGCCTAAACCCTTAGCAGCTCTCCTTCATGAAAAGCCCCGAAGAAGTGAAAGCATCACTGCTGTTCCCTAGTGGCGGCCTGTGGCTGAGAGGGAGCTGGAGCTGAGCAGAGTTGGAAGCAGTCATGGAACTCACTGTGAAGGCCCCTCAACCCCTTCTAGACCTTTCATGCTACCTCTGAAGCCACAGCTTGGTAAACACTATACATTTAAATACTATCTTACTGGAGTGAACATAACCTGCCGGCATAGCAATAATCAACTCTGCTCTCTCTAGGCCTGGGGAGGGGGTGCTTAGGGGGAGCTGGATTTTGCCTTCTATTTTTCCAAGGTCAGAAATTACTTTGTAGTTCACTTGGCTCAATTTCCCTTTGGATCAGCACTAAAACAGCTTTTAAGTAAAAGTTTTCTCCCCATTGAAGTGCACCAAAGTCAGCTAAGACTTCTGGCCTTAGATCATAATTCCCTTCCTTTTCCTCCCCTGAGAAGCAGCCTTGAAGGGTCATTGATTTGCTTAACATTTGTTGGTGCAGATATGAAAGGCAGCTGCTTCTCCTCAGCTAACATTTGAATCAATGTATGCTGTTTCTTTCTAGGGCCTGGTATTTCTTGAAGGTCTTCTCTGGCCTTCCTCCACAAAGAGGCAAGATCCTCCTCTCAACAGGAAATGGGAGGAAACACAGGAGCAAAAAGGGGTCAAAATGTTGAAGTTGCAAAGAGGAGAAAGGAGATAGCTGGCCAGGGGACACAAGAAGTCAGTGGAACGACTGCTTATCCCTCCCAGGATCTGCATCTCAGCTTCCCTGGCTTAGGGCTGGTCTATACCTCTGCTCTGCCCCACCTTAGCACCCCCGGGTCCTATTCTTCTTCTCCTGGA